AGGATTTATTGGTCATTGTGGAACGAAGAGCACTTAGTAACGTCAGTCATCTTGCTTATTACATTCCCATATACCCATACCTATAGATAGTTTTCTGAGTCACAAACCAACATACTGAGTCATACCTTGTCATATATGTTAATAAACTAAGGCAATATCAGAAGTGCTGTACGTGAAAAGATCAGAAATTTTAAAAATCTTCCCTTTTCAGAGGCGTACGGTTTGAGCAAACATGTCTAATGTCGCCTTTAACTTCCGCTGTGCAAATGCTCACCTCTAATAAGCACCGATAAAGGAAGGCATGGAAGTTAAGAAATCTAAAATTAATGATAACGCTGGTATTTTGGCTTGTATATGTAGAACGCAACACTAATAGACGTGGCCAGTGTTTCTCCTTAAATGCTACCAAATTGCGAAAGTCATCAGAACTTCTTTAACCGACGTATATGCACAAAGTAGCTCTATTCTCCGTAAATATGGGTACAGTAATTTGCTAATTCAATTCTCTTTATTTAGAAACACGTTAATACAGAAAGACCGCTAGCATTGGCTGAGTTTCAAACCTGCTCCATTTTGATCTTGTCATGTCTAAGCTATATACCATAACAGTATTGTAAGGAATGTGAACTAAGACGATAAAATCCTCATAAAATGTTCCTGAGCCCTTTCTATCGATGCAGTAAATAAATCTATGAAGCTTGTTGAATAATCTTCCAATAATTGTGGTAATTAAAATAATCATACAGTCTACAGTCACCTTCTTTCCTTTGACACTGCAGTCTTCCCTTTAATTGTTACCATATCTTCATTTAAGATAAACAGAACAAGAGAGGGTTTAAAATATCTGGTCCAAATCTAGCAGAAAAAAATTTTTTATAAGCAAATGTTTGGAAAGCACTTGAAGGATTTTTTCAATGAATCCTGCAGACTTCACAACTGTAGAGTGTATGTGTGTCTCTGTTGCCTCCAACTAGTGGCAACTTAAAAACAGAGAAAAGATTAAAGCTTCGTCCATATTTGGGGCTCTATTTGTATAGGTAAGCATGGGAGTGGGACGGAGTTATGTAACAAATATAACATGAAAGCTGAAGTACAAACTGTTGGAGAGTTCCATAATTTACACTTAATTTCCATGATCTATTTGATCCTTGTACTCATTCCCTTTTTGTGAACTACAAAAGATTTTCTTCTAATCAAAAGCTGCACTTCATCTTTGCCCACAAATGGAAAACTCTCTGCAGAGGAAATAATTCAGGGGACTCAACAGGCCCCATGGGCTGTATTTTAGCGCACTCCTCCCTCCCTTAATATCTACTCTGTGCATAGAATAGTGGGGAAGCCTTGTCTTAACTTAGGTTATTATTTTATCACCTGGTCCTCCTCTGCTCTGAGCTGATAATCAATGGTGGAGTCCGTATCGTGTAAATGAAAAGCATAATTGAGAGCAAGAGAGATGTTCATATGGAAACCCTGATGCTAAAAAATGGGAGGATGCAATTATTTGTACAAGCGATGGGCATTTTGCGGGTTTCCCCTTCACGTTTCTTCTGTTTGACAGAGAATCTGATTGCTTCTCTTGAACTTAGAAAGGTTTACACCTCCATCCCTCCCTCCTCCTCAACATCCATGTGTAAATTCCATGTCCGTCCTAGGATTCCCGAGAAATTGTTCAGCAACCTAACATTTAACTGCTGCTACATCGATTTATTTGGAAAATATTTGGCAGATCTTTCCTAGAGCCCTGTTTAAACAGAATAATCATTTCATCTAACGCTTTTGGATGTGAACCCAAGACCCTTCCAATCAGTTTTAATGAACGAATTGTTTCCCAGCTTTACCTCCTGAAGACAGCAACTTTAGTAGTTACACAGATCAAAAGATCCATGTTAAAGGGAAGGTGGGAAACAATATTTGTTCAAAGGAAGTGAACTGTTTCATTTAATTAGACCATTCTTCTTTATTAGTACTCATACTGAGACTTAAAAAAAGATTTATGTTGATTTTGTCAGTGTGTTTATGATGTAAATATATTCCGAGATGAAAACGTCACGGATCAATTGTAAAGGACCCGGATACATAATTTTAAAAAATCAGTTTCAGTTTATATGAGGTTCTCACCCCACTTTCGCTTCTTAGTCAGATTTGTTTATGCAGAATCGACATTTAATAGTGCTAATTGCACTCCAGTTAAATTGCCCTGATTGCAGAAAGGGAAGCAATTTTCGTGCTCTCTGTCTGGGTTTGGAAGAAATTGTTTTATATTCACCTCTTTATAAAGAAGTGGAGATAAGGCACCGAGCCTTTGCACAAATTGCACTTATGGGCTGACTGGCAGCATTCAGGCGCTATAATAGAGCATTATTTGGCCGTTTTGAATAATGTAAAGCGTTTGCTGAAAGCTATTCTCCTGGAAATTGCTCTAACTTTTAAAAGGGTGGTGATTCACTCCAAACCAGGCCTTTGTTACATTGTCATTATCCCCCAAAATGTTTTAACAGTCAGCTCAACATTTTAGCATAACACATTGATCTTTGTTTAAAAACTAGATTTTTGGCTGCATGAAAAAAATCTGTCAGAAAATTCTTGACCCCCTAAAGATTAGGAGAGTTTCCTATTTCAGTACCATTCGTTTGTTGCTTTAAATGCGTGCTTTCTTTTAGTAGATTTCAGTTACATATATTAATACATTTTTATAAGTAACACCCCTTCGCATGTGTTTAAAAACAGGAAAAAATGTGGTGGATTTGCAAAACCTAAAATATGACAAGACCAATACTATGTAGGTGTCTTTACCCTGTGGGTTAAATGGCTGGGTTTTGAACATCACAATTTCTAACTGCCTTTGCAGATTATTTTATTCATTACTTTGTCAGCTTTCCTTAAAGAGGGGGGAGCCTCAACAGTTCTCTCCCTGTGCTGCCCCGGGGTTGGTCAGAAACGCCTCGCTGCCACTGAACAATCACCCCTATTAGTAAATCAACCGCAGATCCTCTAAACAAACAGGAGCGCTGGCTTCCTCCTGTACGAAAGAGTCACCTGTTGGGTGATTGCTCCCGGGTGCCCCTGTCGGACTCCTAGTCTTTCCTATGCTCCGTGGTTCCCGCCCCTCCCCAATCGCTTTTCAATAGCCTCCACCCGAGGAGCACTACAGCCCCTCGGGTAAAACTGCCGTTTATGATCTGCTCCAGGCAAACCTCTTGGAGAAAGCAATTGTAATTCACTCGCTGGCCCCCTGTGTTCAGCCTAAATCAATGTGCAAAGGATTAGAGACAGAAGAATATTTCTTCTGACTTCCACAATTTTAAATATCCACAGCGACAAAAAGGCTAACGCCCTTTGAAAATAGCCTTAGTATGTTTAAATGAAAGAATCTGCACTGACATTCCTACCCATTGTGGTATAGTTACTGCAGACTGGGTCATGCTTCAGTGTACAACAGCGTGCTAGTCATGTCTCGTTGGAACATTTAAAATGAAATACAAAAAAAGCCAAAAAAAAAAAAAAAACCTTGATCCATGGTTTGCTCCCCCTCGTCCTTTAACAATGTGTATTTTTGCATCTAGTGCTGGCTTTGTTGGATCACTGAAGCGGATTTAAAGAAAATATTTACTGCAATCCAGAACAAGTAGCTAGGGCTGCCTGAATGCACGCGGATTCCTGGTTCAGAACTGTAACTAGCTACACCGGGAAGAGAGAGAGAGAGAGAGAGAGAGAGGAAAACGTAATCTCAGAGCTCCAAATACAATCGCAATATTAAAAAAGTTGTCCGTCTAGTGATCTTTCGCGACATAGTGCGGGTAAGTTCATGAAATTACTTAAGAAGCTTCTAATAATTACAAAGGGACTAGCCTGAAATACATTTAGGAGCCAAGGTTTGGACTTACATTTCGCACATGCAGAGAGCAGGTAAAGTCTCTGTCGCTCACTGGGCGTGCGGAGTGTGAACAGTGCAGAGGCCGCAAGCGAGTGCTGGGGAGGCTTATTCCAGCGGTGCCGAAGCACTGCGAAGAGGAAGCACGCCGTTAGCAGCACAGCGTTCGTGGCTTTCTATAAGGCTCGGAAAACGTGCTGTAGGTTGTAAACTTGGCATACAAAGTCTTTAACCCGGGATTGTTTAAATATAATCCTTCTTCTCCACCAAAAATATCGCTCCTTGGGCTCTTTTGGCAGTTATGATAATGAGAAAAAGAAAAATAGTTAGGTGTCGGCTTAATATTCTGTTCTGGGGAGCTATGCAATTAAAAAGCCTCTTCATGGTTTTCCCCCAAAGAAACTAGCAAATGTATTATTCGTCTACATGTCGACTCACTCTGTATTTTGACAAATACAGAGCAATATAAACTTTGGAATGTGGTTACTGAACACTCAAATTCCTTTTTATAATCACTTCTGGGCATACACGATGTGCACTCTTTGTGGCTCAGCTGCCCAATTTGCCTGATGGCCCAAATTCTAAACTGGCAATGAAAAGGGGGCTGTTGTGCAAATAAACTCTAATTTTAACAAGAAACAAAAATACATATTTCCTGGATCCGGCTGGCATATTGGATTGGGTAAGTAAGTGTGGAGTGTGTTTAATATATTGTATGTAGCCATGCGGTTTAATAATTTTAAAGCTGATAAAATTCAAAGTAAATGCTGACATCCAGCGCCTGCCCTTTGTGGCTTCCCCTCGTTTCCCTGCAACGCGTTAGTTAAGGAGGAAATGTCATCCCTAACTTTGAATTTCCTGGCCTTTGTTGGTTTGTGTCTCAACCTTAAGGATATTTAAATTCAGGGGTTTTAAAAAAGTTAATTACAGTATAATTTTTTTTAGTCCAAAGCACTGAGTTTTATCCCTGTGCCTTTGACTGGCACGCGCCCTGAGCCCTGGTTCTTGCACCTCCAAGTGTCTGATTGGCTGAAGGGCAGCTCCTGCCTGCTCTTTCTGCGCCCTCATTGGGTGAGAGACCCAGCCAGCGGTACTTCAAAGCAGGCGCTCCGCACACTTAGGCTGAGTTTAGCCCTCCAGAGCCAGGAGTGTACTTAGTGCAACTGGAGTAAAGCGGGGAGCTAGGAGGAATCTGAGCAAACTCCCCAGGCTGAGCGCAAGGCAGAGCGCCCCATTCGATTCCATCACCCAGGCAAGGGACGTGCTATGGCTACGTCGATACTTGGGGTAAGTCAGACACAAACGGCACGTTTTTGGTTGTGGTTTCTCGGGTGCAGTTTTGTTACTGAGGAAAAACTTGCTGCTGCTGCTGTTGTATTGCAGTTTCTCGTTACATAAATGACTATGTGCTGCAATTGAACGGTAAACTCGATTAATGTTTCCGGGGCTGATTTCCAATGGTACCATTCACATGAAGACGGTTTTAATATCAAGTTTATTTTGTTTGGAAATAAGCTTTTTTTTTTTTTTTTTAACTCAAGGAAGGTTATGCCATATTGAATGCATTTTCTCGAGCCAGTGTGGTGGTTATACTGCTACACGGCTTTGGTGCAAGCAAGTGTGTTTGTGTTGGCTCATTATGTAAGCTCCAACCCTTGTGGCTTTAGAGCTCACTATTTTCGTTTCACTGGGGATTTTTGCCTTTTCAACTGCACGTTGAAAGAGGAAAGCGTTGTCATAAAGGGTCTCAGACCGCCACAAAACTCTTAAGAAATTCGTGTCATTTTACACCATAATTACTGGTCGACCCCATTATGATTACAGAGTATACCATTTAATTTAAATCCGTTTATATGTCCCTGAAAACTAGATATTGCTTCAAGCAGGACAGGGTGACGTTTCCTCCTAAACGAAAGGCTACTTTTGCAGGGTGACTTTCGGGCAGAGTATTTAGTCACGTTGCTGTGCTTCGTGTGCATCTCCCTTGAGCTTTTTTCAAGGCTCACTGGCTTGCTTTGTCTCTCTCTTAGGAAGAGCCAAGATTTGGAACAACTCCCCTGGCCATGCTGGCTGCGACCTGCAATAAGATCGGGAACACCAGCCCTCTGACCACTTTACCCGAGTCTAGCGCCTTCGCCAAAGGAGGCTTTCACCCTTGGAAACGCTCCACCTCCAGCTGTAACCTGGGCTCCAGTCTCTCGGGCTTCACGGTGGCCACTAGCAGAGGCTCCAGCGGACTGGCCAGCGGCACCGGCACCGCCAATAGTGCCTTCTGCCTGGCCTCCACCTCGCCCACCTCCTCGGCCTTCAGCAGCGACTATAGCGGCCTCTTCTCCAACTCGGCGGCGGCGGCGGGCGTGTCCCCGCAGGAGCCCGGCGGCCAGTCGGCCTTCATCTCCAAAGTACACAGCTCTGCGGCCGAGAGCCTGTACCCGCGGGTGGGCATGGCGCACCCCTACGAATCCTGGTACAAGTCGGGCTTCCATTCCACCCTGGCCGCAGGCGAAGTGGCCAACGGGGCAGCCTCTTCATGGTGGGACGTGCACACCAACCCGGGCTCCTGGCTGGAGGTGCAGAACCCCGCTGGGGGGCTCCAGAGCTCGCTGCACTCGGGCGCCCCCCAGGCCTCGCTCC